TGGCTGTTCCAACATAATCATTCTCCTAAAGGCAATGGCAGATTTAACCGGAATTGGCAGTAATGTCGCAATCTAATTAGCCAGTTTGCCGTTGTTGATAAGAGCAGAGACAACACTGCCTGCGTCAACGTGTCACGCAAAGTGCTATGCACTGAAAAAATGTTTTTTTTTACGTGAATAGTGATAAAAGACAAATCGACAGTGATTTAAGGAGTCTGTATTCTTATCGACCACAATATTTGTCATCACAGTGGTCACCTTGCGAGTCAACAAGCCCGCCATAAACCGCTGTCGCCATTTCCTAGGGGTGACCGCTAAATACAAGTTCGACTGTACTCAAATGAAAGTATCAAAAATTCTTATATATATCAAAATATTTCTTAGCTTATTTAAGTTCGAATGTAACAAAAAATGGTTTTGGCAAACCCCCTTCTAAAAATTTCCTGGACCCCGCTTAAACCTGTAACCTGTAAGAGTGACCACCATCTAATTTCTCCTTACAATAAAACAGCTGAATCATTCATTGGGATCATAAGAAGAAAGGAAATGATCGTCACCTTGAGCAGCTTTGCTCGCTAAACTAATTCTCGTCCTCAGCAGCGGTGGAAATGAAAAGATAACATTAGAGAGAATATGCATTCTGATGTAAGGGCGTAAAGAGCTACGCGTTCGTAAACTTGTATGTCGTCTTTAACATAGGAGTTCCAAAATCAGCTGAAGGATCATTTGCTAGATTTTCGATAAGCGGTTGCTTGATTATTTGAAAATTTTCAACGATTTTTCCTTTTTTTTTTTCCCATTTATTTATCCAGTCATTCACTCAATTTTTTTAATTTTATTACTCTATTATTTTCTATTTTATTATTTATTATTATTTATTATTTTATTATTTATTTATTATTTTCATTTTATTAATTTCTATGTGGCTGATCCTTAGTAGTTATCTTATTGTTATCATTTCACTTTATTTATTTTTTTTCTGAGATCATCAGGTAAATCAAAGAAACAATATGGACACCAGGTTTGATCCTTTAGCCAAGTTGCCATTTGAAGATTCGATAGCCTGCGAGCAAATTCTTATTTACGCTGCGGCGAGAGCAGCGGAGCTCGCGAGAGCGAGGTGAGCATGCGTGAGGTCTGGGACGGGTCCTGCAAGAACCCTGGCAGACCTCTCGCAAGGTCAAATCACTTTCTGCCTCCAAATCGACAGGCTTCATAGCGCAAAAGAAAGTCTACTCGCATTATTTCGTGTCGATGCAAAGGGAATCAGGCTCTAACGGGAAAG